CCTGTTAAACTACATGTGTTAGTCTGGGTAGACTATGGACTATCCTGTTAAACTACATGTGTTAGTCTGGGTGGACTATGGAAACAAATCCACAGAAACGCATACCGTATGTGGATGAGAGGTTTATATACAAGAGCACTTGGATATTGAGAAAAAAAATCCCAGCCCAGTCCACATCAAGTCGTTAAATCCAATATTAGGCCATATGTCTGATACCAATCTATAAAGCCATCTTCAGACTCACGAAATGCATGCAATGACGCTGAATGCAGGACAATCACAGGCCGGTGAGTGCAAAGTCTTGCGGACCCAGTAGTATTGTAAGCATCTCAGGGCTAGCAGGGGTCTCCATGTGGCATCTCCAGGTCAGGACACCAGTGCAGTTCCATGTGTCTTGTCAACTACAAAGTCTCCCAAGGAGTGAGCCAAGAGAGAGTGAGTCTCCCGCCTCCAAGGAGGAAAATCCAGGAGTTCCCAAAATTCTCAGGAGATCATGCCCACACAGAGGTCTCATTGGCTATGATCCGATTGACAGACTAGACTCCACCCCTTCACGCTTAATCCTCTCAAGTCCCAAATTGACACCAGAGTATGTAACCACCACACTACACAATTTTTAAAAAATCAATTTGTTGGGGGTTCTTTCAGTGCTTATAACAATCCATACTCGCATCCATTGTGTCAAGCATATTTGTGCATATGTTGCCATCATCATTTTCAAAACATGTTCTTTCTATTTGAGCCCTTGGTACTAGCTCCTATTTTTTTTTTCTCCCTCCCTCCCTCACCCACCACCCCTCATGAACCCTTGATAATTTATAATATTTTTCATGTCTTACACAGTCCGGTCTCCCTTCACCCATTTTCCATTGTTCATCCCCCTGTGGGAGGGGGCCAGTTATACATCTATCATTGTGATCAGTTCCCTCTTTCTCCCCCCCACCTTCCTCCTGTCCTCCTGGTACCACTATTCTCATTATTGGTCCTTAGAGGTTTATCTGTCCTGCATTCCCTGCGTTTCCAGCTCTATCTGTACCAATATAATGTTCTAGTCTAGCTGGATTTGTAAGGTAGAATTGGAGTCATGATAGTGGTGGGGAGGAAGCATTAAAGAACTAGAGAAAAGCTGTATGTTTCATCGGTGCTATACTGCACCCTGACTGGCTCGTCCCTTCCTTGTGACCCTCTGTGAGGGGATGTCTAATTGTGTACAGATGGGCTTTGGGTCTCCACTCTGCCTTCCCCCTTATTCACACCAATATGATTGTTTGTTCTCCCATCGACACCTCATTATCATACAGGCTGGTGTGCTTCTTCTATGTGGGCTTTGCTGCTTCTCAGCTCAGTAGTAGCTTGTTCATCTTCAAGCCTATTTCTTTTGATAGCCAGTCACCATCAGCTTTCTTCACCACATTTGCCTGTGCACCCACTTTGTTGTCTTCAGTGATCATGTCAGGAAGGTGAGCATCATGGAATGACAGGTTATTAGAACAGAGTGTTCTTGTATTGAGGGAGTACTTGAGTAGAGGCCCAATGTCTGTCTGCTACCTTAATACTTAACATATAAATGTGTGTACACAGATCTATTTCCCTATCATTATATATAGAAGTATTTGCATGTATGTGCCTATATTTGTATCTCTATAAATGTCTTTTGCCTCCTAGGTTTTTTTTCTCTGTTTCCTTTTACTGTCCTCTTGTCCTATTATCACGTCCAAGCTTTATTCAGCTTTCATTAATTCCTCTTGGCTACATTGCACTTGATCAAGCCCCACCTGGCATCCTACATCCTCCTCACCATCTATTTTAGATCACTTGCTGTTCTCTTGTCTCTGGGTTTGTTGGCACCCTCCTTTCTTGACCCCACCTCCCCCTCTCCCATGTCCCCCCAGAACTATTGGTCCGGTTGTTTTCTCCTAGGGATTATTTATCCCACCTACCTTACCTTATATAGATAGATATGTGTGATAGTTAAGGTTTATTGTACCAACCTGGCTGATGAACACGTGGGATTTATTGAAGGCCAGAGAGATACATGGCTCATCAAGTTTCACCTCTCGGGTCACTTGTTCTCTGTTGGTTGAACCAGTGTGCTGATGCCTTAAGTACTTCTCTGCCTTAGCTGGCAAGACATCTCCACTTCCTGCGAGACATCCTTGAGGAGAAGCCACATGGACCTACCCTGATGCAGGCCTGGGTGCTGGAGAAGCCCTGCGAGCACTGAAGTGCTTACACGCTTTGTAGTCAGCATCATTGTGTGTGTGTGTGTGTGTGTGTGTGTTGTGAGTTTGAGGAGGACTCTGTAGATCGATGTCAGACCTATGAGCTAATGTTGGATTTATGGGCTTGGACTGGAAAGGGTTGGCATGCTTTAATGTACAAAACTCTCATTAAATATGAGGGTTTATGAATTTTGTTTCTCTAGTCTACCCAGACTAACTTAACATGAAAAAACAATAACAAATGCCAAAAACAAACAAAAAGAAAAACAATAACACTAAAAAAGAAAATCCTATTAGTACTTCCGGGTCTGTTGACCTTTATGCATGTTTTGAGGTACCACGCCCTGCCCCTGAAGTCTGTTTTTGAGATTCCTGGGGGACTTCATTGCTTTGCCCCCCTTGCTGCTCTGTTGCATGCCCTTCGTGTTTTGCCCCAGTGTGGTGGGGTCAGATTTTGCACAGTTCTCACACTGTGACTTCAGTGTTGTCCCCTGTAGCACAACGGGTCCATGAGAGACGTCATGTCTCGTGGTGGGGCTGGCCCTTTGGTCTGCTGTGCACTGCTGCTCCAAGCAGGAATATCGTCCTGAGGGCTTGGTAGGTCACGATGTGTTCCACTCTCTTTCTCTCTCCTTCCCTCTTAGTTTACTCCTGTGTGCTCTGATAGGACGCACCCCTCTCCCTGAGCTATAGTTTCAGTGCTGTCTTCTGTAGTGCATTCTTCTGGGGTGGGAGTCCACGGAGCTGGGATTGGGACCAGCCCTGCACACCAGGTTGAGGTCTGGTCCCTCTCTCCCTCACCTGTATACTACATAAATTTATGTCTTTGCATAATGTAGAATATTGATTTCTTTATCTTTAAAATTATATAAATTATACCATGCTATATATTCTGCAATTTTCTCTTTTCCCTTCAAATAATGTTTTCAGGAGGCATTCATGTTGATTCATATAGCTGCTCAAAATTGTGTATTTCAACTGGATTTTTGGCATCTTTTTAAATAAAAAAATCACAATTTCCTTGTCTATTCTCCCATTTGGAGCTCATAGGTTAAGCATGGAGTTACTAACGAAAGGCTGGTGGTTTGAAACCACCAGGAGGTCACAAAGGAATCTGAGGTAATCAGTTTCCAGAAAAGATTTAGAAGCCCTACAACACAGAAAGAAAGAAGACAGTTCTAGTGTGTCCTGTTGAGCCGTTATGAACTGAAATGGACTCAATGACAGTAGGTTTTTATTCTTCCATGAGCGATCATTTGGACTTGGGTTCCGATCTCTTGCTTTGAAGGGTGCCTTCCATAATATGATTAAGTGATTTCATTGTGTGCTATGTGATTTATATGCCAATAAGACCGGGTTTTTTTTTAATATGAGAGAAAAAAGGATCTCCAGATGAGATCATGCTGGCAGATTCTAGACACAATGCTAATTGTCCTTAAAAGACACAGGCATGGGAAAATGGTGCAAACTATGGGAATTATGCAGCCATGAGCCAAGGCATGCCTGAAGCCAGGAAAATCTGAACAAGGCTAGAAGGACTCTACTCAGAGCCACATCAGCAACCTGGCCTCAGACTTCTGCCCTCCAGAGCCATGAGAGAACAAATCCCTGTTGTTGGAAGTCACCTGGTTTGTGATGCTTTCTTACAGCATCCACAGGAAACTCAGAAAATATTCTTGCATATTTTGTTCCTATTATTTTTCTTGATTTTATAAAGTATATATTTCCAGAACCACTACTTTGCAGAGATATCTTTTCTCAATCTGTGACCTCTTTTAATTTTATTTACACATTTTTATAAATAAACTTTCAAAGTATTCATTCTTTGCTTATATGACATGCATTTTGTGCATTGTTTAGGCAATCTTTATTACCCAAACATCATGAGAATATTGTCTTGTGTTTACCTTGCGTGTGCCATAGCTTATCATTTTTTGCATTAGAATCTTTAATACACCTGGAATTTATTTTATTTTCCAATATGATCCAGTGTATATACTCTTTTTTCATATGTTAACCAATTGTCCTACCACCATATTTTCCCAGCTTAATAATGCCAACTCTAACTTAATTTTATATATCAAAATGAATGTGTGTGCCCTCTATTCTGTTTGTCAATACCTATGTGAATATCACTCTGATTTAATTACTATGTACAATAAATGCCAATGGAGGTGAACATAGCTGACATCCTCAGGCTTTCCTATTGCCACCAGACAAGAGTCACACATGCCTCCAGACGACTCAATGCTTCATTGTCTATTCTGACCAGCCATTCCTCCCACACCACTCGACATCTATGATGAGTTCGATAATGCATTTCAATGGCCACACAGAACTCACAGATAATACTCACAATGATGGGGGGTGATTAGGGGAGTCAAGAGGTTACCACAAGTCAGAATCAGCAAACAATAAGGTATACAGACATTGGTCTCCTTAGTCAGCAAAGTCTCTCTCCAGCACATGGCCCCTTGACCTTTGTTTGCCTCCATAGGCCAGAACACCAGCCCACCTGTGCCACTCTATGCCACAGCTCCATAGTCTCGGGCCAGAGGAGCGGAAGGTGCCCCATAGTCTCTGTGCTGCTCATATGAGTTTTAGTGGCACAATCTCTGGTGCATCTGGTCTCGGCAGCCTCCACCACTTCAAATAGAGATCTTGAATGTGCTCAGTGATGGTCCTGGGGTTTTTCTCTGCTACTGCTTCAAAGATGAGTCATCCTTACAGCCTGAGTGGTAACAAAAACTGGTTAACAGTGGTAACAAAAACTGACGACTTGCTCTATTAGTGTTACACATGCCCTATTTGTATAGTTCCACCCAATTACTAGAGCCCAGGTGGTGTAGTGGTCACTTATTGGGCTGCTAACTGTAAGGTTAGCAGTTAGAAACCACTATGTCCTCCTCGAGAGAAAGACAGGCTTTCTACTTCTATAAAGAGTTACAGTTTCAGAAACTCATATGGGGAGTTCTGTGAGTCAGCATCCACTTGGTGGTAGTGAGTATCCAATCATTTAGTGAGAGTTACAGAGATTTGGGTAGAAGAGCCATATTAAGCAATTTCTACACTCTACCACAGTATGGCTTTACAATAAATCTTGATTTATTGAAAAATCAAGTACTATTCCCTTATTAAAACTACCTATTTCTTTTCTACCTTTTACTCCAAAGTTATTTGAGAGTCTGCTTTCAAAATTCAACAAAATAAAATTGTCAGTTGGGATTTGGTTAGGAATTGCATTCTGTTCTATGTCAATATAAGTATATATTTATGATATTGGTTATTTCCATTGAAGAAATAGCATATCTCTAGATAATTTGTTATCATATATGTGCCCGAGCACATATTTTTTTTACAGTGGCATATACACAATGAGCATGGTTGTGAGGACCGGGCTGGGCATTGTTCTCTTGTTCCCACTTTCAATCCAAATAGAATTTGACACAATGTTGATTTGAATGTTGATTTGTAGCGCTTTCTGAGTGATGGACACCACAACGAAGGCTGTAAGTAGTCCTAGAGCAGTAAAAGCACTGGATATGGCTCATATTCATAGTCTTTGTAACTCCCACCAAATGACTGGGTGTTGTTAGGAGCTGGTTTCAAATCATAACAACCCTGTGTACAGCAGAACAAAACACTGAACATGATCAATGAAAAAGTTTGTGCTCAGGGGCAAAAATGCCCCTTAACTTCCCTGAGGCCATGCTGCTTATTCAAAATGGCTGATAGAAGGCCTGGCCCTGGCTTGATATAGCCAGAGGCTTAAGGCCATATTGCACATGAATGTAGTTTACATAAGAAAGGATTGAATTTGACTGGTTTAAGGATATGGTTAAGATCTGGCTGTACTAGGATGATATTGATCTTTTCTACCTATTGTTGTTGATATAATGTGAGATAGAAAAGATTATTGGGAAGTGTGAATAGAGAGCTTGTAAGCCCACTGCCTTCAGACATTACATTGGTTCTGTGAAAACCGTATAGGACATATATTCAGAGAATGGTTAGTAAAGGTAATCCCCATCCAGAGCCTTGAGGGCTCAAGACATTGGAGTTTGAAAAGACTTGCTGAGAGAGCTGTTGGCTTACTGAAGAAGAAAAAATGAGCCATTTGGCCCTTTTGAATTTTGCGCTGGAGATTTGCTCCAGAGGCAGGAAAAATCTGGAGCCAGGAAGGAACTCTCCTGTTTAGGGTGTAACATTAAAGGTAGCCTACGGGCAGCCTGACAAACTCACTAGGTGACCACCTAAATGCACCTGTTGAATGGAAGTGGGAGAAACACACCAATAGAGAAATGGGTTGAGCCTGGCCACTGACGCCCATGGTCCTGATTCACAGGGACTAGAGGAAAAGATGAGAGTGGTTGGCTGGTCTGAAGTGTAAAGAGTTGTGCGGAACTCGGGCCTAGGGCATGACCTAGCCCAAGGGCACTAGGGTTGTTGAGAATTTGTGAAGCTACCCATGGTCAAAAGGCAAGGTGGTCAATGGGTACCCTGGTGAGGCTAAGCAAGGCGATGCTCCACATTGAGTTGACCAGATGAAGATAATATATTTGAGCCTGTGAATTGGTGCACATTGCTGCCAAACTTTTTAGACAGCCTCTCCTGATTTGACTTTGCGTATGGATGTGGACTCACAAGGTTCCATCTGGAATGAAGATTCTTCACATCAAAGAACATCTTGCCTCCTCAGAGCACTGGGTTGATAGAAAGGGCAGTATAGAAATTGGATACCCAAAGTAGGGGGATGGAGGGATGAAGTGTCAGGCTTACAAACTTTTATAGGTGGGGGAATATCTTGATAGGATTATAGGATTGTGGTGTAGGTGTTCACAAACTGCAATTGTTAAGCATAGAATATTTTTGTTTTGTTTGCTTATGGAGTATTGTGTTTAGATGAGGCTGGCACATTTTGAATTATATGCACTTTAGTTTAATCTTGTTAGCCACAAATATGATTTTACTGCTGTCCTTGTTTTACAAATTATATATGGCTTAAGAATTGAGTACAAGTGCAAAGTTGGCAAGAGGTGGACTGTGATAGGTTTTTTGGTGCCAACATGGCACCTGTAAGAAGATATGGGTGGAGTTTAGCCTGTCAATCAGGTCACAGCTTAAGCACCTACTTTGGGGGTCCGACCTAGATAAATAGCTCTTGGAAGGCTGGGCCTCTATGTCTCTCCCTTTACCATCCTGCTGGTGAGCCACTAAGACCATCTAGAACCACTGCCACTGGATCCACAAGACTTTGCACCCACCAGCTCATGATCTTCCTGCATTCTACATCATTGCATGTAGCTGCATGAGAGTCAGATGGACTAATATCAGACTTATGGACTTGGGTTGGACTGGGTCAAGATGTTTTCCTAATGTATAAAGCTTCTTGGTATAAAGCTCTTTCTTACACATATCTGAGTGTCATTGACTTTGTTTCTCTAGTTAACCCTGCCTAACACATCAGCATAGCCCAGGCCATTGATAAGCCTTCCACCAATCATGATGCCATGTTCTTCTTCATATAACCCATAGAATTACAGATTGAATAATTTTGGTGAAAGGATGTAACCCTGACTAAACTTTCCTAATTTTAACTACTATTTGGTCTATGTACAGTTTCCCTATGAGCATTATTAAGTATTCTGGAACTCCCATTCTTCACAATATTAACCATATTTTGTGGATGCATTCAGTTGAATGTGTTTGCATAGACAATAGAACACAAGCAAAATCACCCCGAATTCTCTGCTGCAAACTATATCCATCTGATGTCAGTTCCTTATCCCACATCCTTTTCAGAATCTGACTTGAATTTTTGGTAGCTCCCTATCAATACACTGTTATAACCATTGTGAGTTATCTTCAACAAAATTTTACTTCTATAGGATCTTAGTGATATCATATTTTAGATGTTTATTAATTTCACATTATTGTGAGTCACTTTCCTTTGGAATGGGAACAATTATAGCTCTCTTCCAGGCAGCTGTCCAGGTAACTGTCTTCCAAATTTCTTGACATAGATGAGTGAGTGTTTCCAGTGCTGCAGCAGTTTGTGGAAACATTTCTTGATGTTCCATCAGTTCCTGGAGACTGATTTTTGGCTTCTCCCTTACATACCCTCAGTCTTTTTTATCATATCCTACAATTTGAAATGGTTGAACATAAACAAATTCTTTGGGGTGCAAATAGTCTGAATGCTCCTTCGATACTCTTTGGATGCTTTCTACATCATTCAATACTTTTCCTACAAAATACTTCAATGTTGCAGCTCAGGGATTAAGGTTTTTCTTCTTTGCATATTTCATTATACTTTGCTTTTGAAGCTACCCTTTGAACTTTTCTGTTCAGGTTTTTACTTCATTTCTTCCATTTGCTTTAGCAGCTCTACATTCAAAAGCAAGGTTCAGAATCTCTTCTGACATTCACTTTAGTCTTTTCTTTCTTTCCTGTCTTTCAAATAAACTTTTGCTTCATTCTCCAGGATGCTCTTGCTGTCTTCTCACAGTTCTATTACTGGTGTTCAATGCATCAAAGTTGTTCTTGAAGTGTGGTCTAAATGCAAACTGGATAGACCCAAGGTCACATTGGGGTTCTGCTAGACTGCTTTTAATTTTCTTCAGCTTCAACCTGAATGTACGTGTGGACAATTGATGGCCTGTTCCATAATCAGCTTTTTTCCCTGTTTTGACTGATAATGTTGAGTGTTTCCATCACCTCATCTTTTCCCACACACGCAGTCAAGTTGATTCCTGTGTATTCTACCTGGCAAGGTCCATGGGTCTAATGATCTTTTAAGTTGTTAAAAAGGGGTATTTTCAGTGAAGAAATCATGGTCCTGCAAATTCTATCATATGACCACTAACTTCATTTCTTATCACCGGGACTGCATTTTCCAAGTACGGATCTTTCCTCTTTATTTTCAACTTTTGCTTTCCAATCACCAGTAATTATCAATGCATCTTGAATGTATGCTTGATACATTTCAGACTGAAGAGGGTCATATAATTCAATATCCACATCTCTAGCTTTAGGGATTGTTGCACATATTTGAATAATAGTTGTATGAACAGGCCTTTCTTGTAAGTGTATAAACATTATCCTATCACAGAGAGCATATTTATTTCCAGATAGACCTTGAAATGTTCTTTCTGACAATAAAGATGATATTGTTTTTTTTGAATTTGTCATTCTCAGTGAATTAGGCTGGGTTCACTAGAGAAGCAAAACAAGTGATGTTTATACATATCTAAAGAGAACTTTATATCAAGAAAATGGCTTACATGACTACAGAAGTAGGCAAATACAAGTACCAACAGCTTTCAAGTCCGTGGGTCAAGTGTTAAGCTGAAGCTTCTCCTTACTGATGTAACTGCAGGAACTGACAAACCCAAGATCAGCATGAAGATCAGAGGCTGGTTGCTACAGACACAAGTTAGTCAATCCGAGGTCATCAGGGAAGCCTTGTGACTTCGAAGTCACATGGAGTTAAGGTGGCATGTAGTATGGTAGCCTTCTGAAGACTCTCATGCTCAGTAGGTAATATGACAGGCCATTGGCTCAAATCCAAAGACCCAGAAGTCAAAGAACCAGATGCAACATACAAACTCAGCAAAAAACAAATGAACATTTCCACATTGTCCTCATCTGGGGAGGCCACATGCTAGAAAGCTTCTTTTTAATTCTATCAAAGCTGTGACCTGAGTGCTGTTTGTCCTTAGG